TGCTGGAAATTGGAGAGAAAGAAAACTGCACTATAAAAGGGTGGAAGAAAGCACATGAGTCCAAAGGCTCATTCTAGAAACACTGATAAGCAACAAATTATTGTTTGGAATTGCATCTAAACTGAGTACTCTATGTTATGAAGCTGAATTCTGACAGAACTGTGATGATCAAGCACATTTGAAAAGATTTGTCTGCAATTTTGTGTTTGGATAGGAAAGTCTTCAATCTGATAGAATTAATAATGATATGAAACATCTTATGTACTCTTTCTGATGTAATTGGACACTTTTACAACCATGAGAATAAAACAACCCTATTTATTTACAGAAACTAGCTGTCTTTTTCATGATATGTATTTTAACCATCAGGAAGCTAGAATCCAATTATATTGCACTTCATGTATAGGATAAATAGATAAATAAAATAAAATCTCAAGTGAATTCTCTTGCCTATAAAATATAGATACCTACATATTCCTATAATATTTCCTACAACATCAATCACACACAAAATATTATATGTAACAGTTGGAAAAACTGCTATCTAAATCTACCATTGAAAACTTAAAAAAAATGATTATTATGATGTTTCTGTATTTGAATCATCTGTCATTTTTGTATATACAATATTATGGCTTGATTCACATGTTGTGCAAAGCCCAGTCAAAGCCTGGGCAATCACAAATGATGCTTTATAAGCCACAATAGCCAGATTTATACAACATGCTAAGCCAACACCAAAGTATATAACTGCTTAGTGCAACATGTGAACTCAGCCACTAACTAAACCTATTATTCACACTTACTTCATCTATTTGGTTTATAATGTGGTTTGTAATTGTTGGTATTGGTAGATTTGCTTAGCATATTGCTTATCTGTAATTTTCTAAGGTGGAACTGTATATTTTGTGCAGTTGTGTATAACCAGGGGCAAGTATTTATATTTATTTAAATTAATTAAAATCTGCAGGCCACTTTGAAGGATGTAATTGAGAAAGGAGCTGGCTATTTTACTCTTTTTTTCCTTACACTTACTATTTTTCTATGTGATATATTGAATTTGTTTTAGATTTCAGATATCCAACTTTCAGCCAATAGGCATACAACGATCAAATTTCCCTTTGAAAGCATTTCCAGATATTTGCCATTCAGGATTTAGATGTCTAGCATTCTTTCTGTTGGTTCAAATGAAATAAGTTTCAGTGTCAGTAAAGTAAATCTGGATATGTTTGAAAAAGTTCCATAAAAGGCAAACTGATTTTTAATAAGTAAAAAACATTATCAAGTTCTCTATCATCATGGAGATCCTGGAAAATATAGTCACTCAACAAAATAAAGAACATAGAATATACAATATATTGTTACTAAATAAATCTGATATTGCTTTAAATTCTGCACTGGATTTGCAGCTTTTAAAAATGTAAATTATTTTCTTGCTAAAATGTAACTTTTAATATGTAAATTCTCAAAATCTCAGATACGTTATTAATCTTGTTTTAATATGTTATTAGGGTAATAGCTTGTTAAATTAAAAACAGCAGTTTGAGAATAAAAATATAAGGCTTTCTTTGAAATTTATCTTGTCAGTTGCCATGAGCACTGATAGCAAAATTTTGGCCACTCTGTGCTCCAAATCTTGTGAGTATTCATCCAAAAAGGAAGCCTTCATTATTTTTGTAATTATGCATTTTTCATGCTACAAACAATTTTTCCAAATCATATAAAAACTATTATTTATTATTCAATCTTACTTAAATTGCAATTTTATATACCTGAGCTGCCACTCCCTTTTACTTCTAATAATGATTCAGAAGATTCATAAATAGGAGCTATAATTGAATGCATCAAATATTACTGGTTTTATCAAACAGATTTTCTCCTTTCAAGTAGTAATAGCTTTGCAAATGCTAGCTGGAAATTTGAAAAAAAGCACACACAATGCAAGCAGTTTGAGATGCACTCTCACGTGACACACACCTAGTAAATTAAGTATCAGCAGTATAGGTGGTAAAAATTATTTCAGAAGTGACAGTAGTTCAGAACAGGTATTTCACTGTATGAAACACAAAGGAATTTAATACTATATTCAGAACTGACTGATTTGGTTTGTATTTCAGTGACAACTGAAAACATGAGTGGTCATTTTCAAAAGTATTCTTCTTGGAACATCAAGTTATAGAGGACTGCTTGTACAGACACAAGTCAAGTCAAATGTGAAGAACTGCCAAAACAAAGTTAAGGTAACTCAATGCAAGGTTTTGAATTGAATTAATTTAGCCATGGTTTATATTTTTTTAAAAAGTGATATTCTAGAGGCAACTCACTATTTTTAAATTAATTATATACTGCAGATATATATATTATA